GGAAATAGTTTAGTTTCTTCGAAATTAGAAATAGGTAACCTGTTTCAAATTTCATTGAAAACTGAAATTCCATTAGGTACAAATTTATATTTTAACATCGTTAGTCAGAAATTAAAAAATATTGTTAAAATCATCATCCGTTCCAGGAAAATCGACTTTGAAAATGAGACCTATTTTTACTAATATTTTAATTGTGATACAAAGTGTAACATAACCTTAAAACAATTCGAAATGTTCATTTCTGCAACTGCCTTTTTCTTTAACGAAGATATCATCATCCTGAGACTACTAAAATTTAGGTTTTAACTAACCTACCTCAATAATTTTACTCTGGACAGATACTAGCAAACTAGGTGGTACAACATTGAGAACATTTGAGGAATACATCCAAATTCTGAATGATACTTAGCATTCAACAGCGTCCCTTTTTATTCTACCGTTAATTCCGTTAGATGGACACTTCACAGGCGTGCCACTAATCAATGCCATATTCGTAAACAAAATTATACGCATAGGAATCTTCTTACACCTCATGTTTTGTGTTAATCTCTTCCTCTAACAGCGAATCTAGGTCTTCTCGATCCTTAATAACTCCGTGTCCGTGACGTGAACTATAGTTCAAATAAATTAAATATTGCAGAAAAATAATAGTCTTATATGCAGATTTAAAAGAAGATAGATGCACAATACGCAAATCTTTAATTTCTTTGTTACAGTAATTTTAATTTCTTCACGTTGGCGTTGGCAAATAAAATGCGGTAAAATTAAAACAATAATATCAAAATTACATTAAAATACAATAATCTGTTTCATCGGCTGTGATTGGTGTAATTTTTCACGAGATTCTGTTCAACCAATCAGCGAGTGCATTATCTCGATCTTAGACATAACGTTTTGTCACTGTTCGTTGTAAACGAATCATTAATATTGATGACGTCAAGAATATTTGTAACCATTGCCACTCGTGCATTGTTGGGTTGCCTAAGTTGAGTGGTCACGTGGCTTGTAAACATTCATGAAGACCCTGTATAAGATTAATATGCACCTTTATCTATCAAAGTATTTGTTCTTCTACAAGAGTCTTGCCTCTTCTTTTGACGCGAAGATATTCATTAATTATTTTATAAATAGAGACAATAATCATTGTTGTACCAAGAAATCAAAATCAATTTTTTAATAAATACTGATACTGACAGATGATGTATTAATATAATGAAGAACTATATATTTTCAGTGTTAGAAATGTAGTATAATTTTATCAACAGTACATATTCTTTCCCTCTCCGTGATCCTTTTATACTGCATCAAATGCAAAAATTGAGATTGCCTTTATTCATTTTACCTTTAACTAATTTTATTTTTTTATCACATTGCAGATGTTGACGACACATAATGTAAATGTGACAGAAACACAATTAATTATATTAACTATGTTCTTAATAATTTATGAACTTTCTTATTTCATGAAGGAGATGATGATATACCATTACAAGAATTTTAATGAGAGGAAACCTGGAGAAAGTTCAAACTCTGAAAAGTTTGCAACTAGTCATTAACAAGTATTTTGCTGGCATGTAATGATTCTGAAACATTTTTATTTGTTATACTCATAATTGTAATTATTGATATTTATAATGTGTACCTACTTAGTTTATATTTGCAAAAATGGGTCTTCATACTGATCATCTCTTGAGGTTAAAAAAAAGATATAAATAATTTTATAACAGACTGAAACTGAAAAGTACCTAAGACTGTACGAGGTTTTGCATAGATTTTGAAATTAAAAAAATATTTCTCTCAGAGTAAAATATGTCCGGAAATTATGAGGTGATTCTACTAAAAGGTACACTTTTTTAATAAAATCAATATTAAAGGAGTTATTTGTAATTTCATTTTTTTATTAACGAATTTTGATATACCTAACTTTTATATTAATTTTATTTCAAATTTGGTACTTTTGATAACTACACGAGAAAGGAAATCATTAAATATCATCAAAAAGATTATCTCGTTTCAAGTCGACAACAATCAATTTTAACGTTAGAATAAGTTTTTCAAGTACAATTAAAACTTACCCACTTTACAGTGTAAATGAAGCAGGATTTGAACATAAAAGAGAATTTCGTTCTAAACAATTAATTGTAAGTATTAAAATTTTCATTCGTTATAAATCATTCATTGAATAATTTATTTAGTTGTAATATTTAAAAATACATTATAATATGTAATAAATTGTTGGGATTTGAACGAGCAAGGAGGTCGCAAGATTTTGTAGCAATACTAAGCGTTCTTTCTCGGAAACAGTTAAAGTTAACGTGGAACAAAATAAACTTATTTTTAACAATCTTCAATATTATTATTCTAATTTTCTTTAAACACAAAGAAATTTTGATCGATTTTCTAAAAAATAAGGGCATACAGACTATTAAAGCTCTAAGGCTTTAGAACGTTTGTTAGTAATCTATGTGTGCCAAATTAGAAAAAAAATACTTATTTTAAAAACAACGTAGGTAAAATATTAATAAAAAAATTGGGGTTATGTAATTTCGTTAATATTCAATTTGTGTGTGCCATATGAACTTATACCATTTATAGGTAGAATCACCTTCTAACTTTTTTGCTCGTAGTTTTCTAATACCCGTACATTATGCGTATTTAGTTGGCATCAGAATTTATAGAGATTTCTACAAAAACAATTTGCACTTAATTAAAAAAAGATGATTTTACTTTTTTATCTAAGGAAAAATGGTAATTACCGAAGTTGGGATATTTTCAGATTTCAAACAAATATGTAAAAATACAATTGACTGTTGCATTTCGAAGGTATAAACCGTTTTTGTTTTATTAAACATATACAGTGCTATTTTTTTAAAACCTGACATAGGCAAACTTTTTTATTTGAAATGATAGACTAGTGCTTCCAAATGCAAAGTTGTAGGAAATAACTTGATTAAGAAAAATTTACCTACAAATAATTCTTCCCGGTGTTGCCAGATTTCTGCAGTAGCTACTAAAACGATATTTTTTTAAATGGCGACACCGTATTTTTTTAACATAATTTGACAAACCTTCAAATTCTAAATAGAAAATGTTTTGTAACGAATTTTTGCTTGTCTTTAAAATGTGGTTAGCATGGAGAACTTTGATCTTGCATGTACAGGGTGATCAGAAAATCGGTAAATATAAAAATCGTTCAAGAATAAACTGCCTTTGGTTTTAACAATACAGATATATGTTATTAAGGAAAGTAGCTCAAAATTGAAATTTATATTATAATTTCAATTTGTGTATGATACTATGATAGAAACGGACAGTAAAAAATTGTTATTGTTCATTTTACGAGAAAAAAGTATTCTTGATTAAAATTTTTGCTCATCTTTAAAGTCATTTTGAAGATATTTTAAAGACAAGCAACAATTTTAATGAAAAATAAAAAAACGGACAGTAAAACATTTTTATTGTTCATTTTACGAGAAAAAGGCATTCCCGATTAAAATATTTGCTTATCTTTAAAATACGGTTGGCATGGAGAACTTTCATCTTGCATGTACAGGGTGATTAGAAAATCGGTAAATATAAAAATCGTTCAAGAATAAACTGCCTTTGTTTTCAACAATACAGAAGTATATTATTAAGAAAAGTTGCTTAGAATTAAAATTTATATTATAATTTCAATTTGTGTATGAATTGGCCTACTTCGATAGAAACGGGAAGTAAAAAATTTTTATTCATTTTATGAGAAAAAGGCATTCTAGATTCAAATTTTTTCTCATCTTTAAAGACATTTTAAAGATATTTTAAAGACAAAAATTTATAAACAAATTGAAATTGTAATATAAATTTAAATTCTATGCAACTTTCCTTGATAACATATTTCTTTATTGTTAAAAACAAAAGCAGTTTATTCTTGAACGATTTTTATATTTAGGGATTCTCTGATCACCCTGTACATGCAAGATGACAGTTCTTCATGCCGACCGCATTTTAAAGAGCAAAGCAAGCAAAAATTTTAATCAAGGATGCCTTTTTCTCGTAAGATGAAAAATAAAAATATTTTCCCTCGTTTTCACTTCAACCGTGGACATATTGTATAATTTGAAATTGCAAGAAAATTTCCTAAAACTTTGATCTTTACCATTTTTTACTAGATAGAAAGGTAAAAAATAAGACGAGTAGAATGACCCTGTAAAAAAATTTGTAAGAGAATACAATATACTACAACACATTTTGTCTTATGCGCCCAGAACTGAAGTAAATTGATTTTGAGTTAGGTAAGTACTTAAATTCATAAACTCATGTAGAAGAAAACTTATATAATACCTACTTCGCGATAATAACAGTGCCCACTTCTTTTAAATTTTATATGAACCACCTTTTACAATACGTGGGCCAATTGGCTAACAAATCCTCAATATGTTGCTCTGCAATTTATTACTTCTTCTAGACTTGGAGGAATATCGTTGTTCAGCTTTCAGCTGAATGCACCCGTTAAATGCGGTCGTTGCAAACATGCAACTGTACAAGAGCAGCCAGTATTTTATTTGTTACAAAAGAAACGTCAACTTTACGGTATTAAACAGTCGAGAAAAAAATATATTGCACTAGTAGTATTCTTATTTCTCTAGAACTTTAGATATTCAATTTTGGATTATATATCAGGAAGTTATAGGTACTTCTACTCAGTTACGTTCCTTACTCCTTAAGTTAATGCATTATAAAAAGTTATGAAGACCTTGAAGTATGTCTAATTTATTGGTAATTAATAATTATTAAGAATATTAGTACTATACTATTGAAAATACTGTTACTTTTACTTTCAGCAGTAAAATTATTTAGTTTCCCGAATTCATAAACTATTCAACAGTTTACCGTTGTGAACTTGTTACATTTACTTTTATTTTTATAATACTGAAGACAAGAAAACACTGATTTCTGAAGGAATAAAATGTTATAAAATCTATTCCTCACATATACTAAGACTAAGAGTGAAACTTTTTCAGGTTTGGAAGACTTGTATTCAAACTCGTTCATATCGCCGAACTCGGCTTCGGCGGACAATGACGACGACCAAAAATCCCAGTTAGGGGACAGGACATCCGGCCCAAGTGAAATCCAACACACGGATCCGATTATTAAAGAAACTATTGCGTCATATGCGAGTGAAATCACGACGAGTTCTTCGAATCATGAGCGGGTGGAACGGTCGGCAGACCCTATCCTTTCAAGGACAGCGGGAATAGACAACCTTCTGACGTTCAAGAACGTCGACGACTCTTTGGATAGTAACGACGTGGAGCTGTCGGGGAGGATCGGCAGCTTTATACAACCTTCCAGAGCGGTAGGTGATAAAAAATAGTCCCCCATCCACAATATTTTACTTATTTCGAATTCGTCAAAAATAAAATAGGTAATATGCCTCACAGGTAAATATTGTGCCAAAAAATACAAACCGCTGTAGGTAGCAAAATAAAAGTATGTATTGTTTTTGATACTGAAATATAATTTTTTGCATGCTCAGGTAATATGACACCTTTACTGGATTTGTTGAAACATTTGTAAATGACTTACAAGATCGGTAGACAAAATTAAAACTACAATTTGAATAATTATTGAAATTTATTGGAGCAATAGAATTGGGGTTTAAAACAACGTTCTTTTCTGATGATGCTATAGTTAATGCACATTTTGCAATAACACTTTGGGCTGCGATATCAGTTTCTGTTACCGTAAATTGATTTTATTTTCCACAGAGTCTTCGATATATGTACCTATATCTCTCAGCTACAGAGGACGAACGTCACCCACCGTGCCTAAAAGTCAAAGGCCTAAAATATCTATTCCTTGATTTGCCAGAACAGTGGCAGAACTCCTTCGGAATGGGTGTCCAGTATAAATTGAAGGATTCGGGAATTTGCTAGCAGATATCACATGACAATAAATGTTTGGCCTCATAATAACCAAAATGAAAACTTATTTACTTGTTTGTTTATTTATTTTTAAAATATAACATTTTTTAGTTTTAATTAAATTTATTCAACATTTGAGAGTAAAAAAAACGTCACAAGCAATTGTTATTAAGCCCATCTCCAAACATATCCTGAACCAATACAGAACACTGACCTTAATACTTAATATACTATTTCGAGAACTCTTAATTGCAACGGAAAATATTTTTTTGTTCTAGAACAAAGAGCAGAAAATAGCCCGCATATTAGCAAATTATAGTTAAGGGCTACTAATGCGTCTTCTGAATGTGTGACATACAACTGTTTTTCACCTAGCATTAAACAAAACCAAATAAAGAATTTTGGTTTAAATTGACATTTAATAAAAAATTATATAAAACTTCAAAGTACGCAAATGATAAGCAAAGGTCCAGATTGTGAAAAACTGCAAAAAAGTGTTATAAGTTTTTTCGCCTAGCATATGTGAAAATGAATCATATTGACCCTAAAAATATGACCAAAACTAATATTTATCAACCTGGGCCTCTAAACTTATAACACCATGATATGATTTTGTAGTTTTTCACAATCTGGACTCCTTTGCTTGTCATTTTCGTACTTTGACCTTAGCTATCCGCTGGTTATCATGCTCATTTTCTGTCAATATGACTCATTTTCACATATGCTAGGCGAAAAAAGTCTTTTCATACAGTTGTTACTTATTAATTTAATTGAATAAAATTACTTCAATAATATGACCATTTATTTTTCAAAATTTTTTAATTTCCATTGAACAAATTTTATAACACAATTAATCAACAATTATTTTTTTTCTTTGAATAGTGCAAATTGATGGTATTACAGTAGATTAAGTTTATTCTATTCGTGCAGCTCCAATTGCGCGCAAGAAATATTTTTCGGTGGATTACCAGATATCAATGCTGTGGAATTAAATGAATCACAAACTTCAACCATCTTTGAAGATATTCTATTTGAAATTTCAATTCTATTCTTTTGATGGAGTCTGTTCCAGAATCAGCTAAAATCGTCGCAGAGCACCTGAAACAGTGGCTCGTATATTCTTTCCGGATGCGACAGTTTCAAATATGTAGCGGTTTTTCCTGTGTAACATTTTCCATCAGTATAGCTAATGAAAAATCTCCAATTTTTAGTAAACTTAGGGCGCAAAATGGAGTATTTTCGATACAATATAAAATACATCTGAAATGCATATCATCATATTTAGCAGGTTTTCTCTTCAACAAGCCCCATCAATCCCCATTATTAAAATAACCCTAAAAAGACCTCATAATTAGAGTCCTCTTTATTTAGAGTAATATGAATTACCTTCAATAATAAAAATAGTTCATTAGGGGTTTATCCTTTTATTCCAAGTCCAAGTCAATTGTGAATCTTCATGATTTTAAGTTATTTATCCTTAGCCTTTTAATTAGAGTTAGTAGCTCAGATAGTGGCTTCGTCACATACATTCCAGCTTCTAGGTTTCTTTTTTGAACACTGGATACCACCCTTTTGCTAGCCGTTCTCACTCACACAACACATAGGATGTAGGCTTCTGTTCCTCTTGTATGAACCTACACAGGTGGTCTTTTACCAGATAAACGTTACCCTGATGATTGTCTTTAGTGATCTGCGATTATCTATTTTCCACCATTTTTGTACATTCTCCTGAAGGTAGTTCTGCAATAGTATCCATATAATACAGTTAGCATTGCTACCCTGTAGGGCTGTAGAGCAATCTACTCTGACTAATTCATCCGTTTTCTTGTTATCCTAGTCACTTTACCAATGGGTTCAAATAACTTCATATCAGCCTAGAATAGATTTTCCAAGACTTGTCTTTGTTATGTATTTCATAAACATATCTTTTTGAGAAGGAAACTTGAAGCTTTCTCAAAATATTAGCCTTCTTTTTGCTATTCCAACCTATAGAGCCAATCCACTGAATTTTAGTCCCGTTTACATTCGACTCATCCAGAAGTAACTACTATTATCGATTTTGTAGCTCAACTGGAGGGAGCAATTGATATGAACTATCATATTTTCGTTTTCAGAATAAAGAAGATACTTCGAACGATGTCCAGCAAACCGCGACGCCTGGTTCGGGGGAAGGGCGAGGGGCTCCGCAGGCCAGATCACTTCCACTGCAGGAGCCCCAAGAAATCACCCCCAGTGCGACGATGACGACGCAGAATTTTGCTACCCTATCACACCTACAGGGCAAAGGAAGGCAGGCGAACCCTGACATCCAAGATATCATCACAGGCATTGTTAAATTACTCAATGGTAAGCATTGGGGTGCAAACGGATACAATCTTCTCATTTAGTTCTTCATTTGTTTCTTTATTTAAGGAAATGTAAACGTGCAAGCGAATACAGCTCCTGTTATGGGTAGACCTATTAGACCAGTTTCAACAAGGATTAACAATAGAGGACCTCCTAGGATAACTGATGTTCCCGCTTTACCTCCAGATTTTGATGTTCCAGCACCTCTGCCACCACCCCCTATATTAGGTAAATATTTATAAACATGATATCGTGAGGAAACAACTACTCTGCGGACTAAAGACTGTCCAGTATTGAATTACATCCGCAATATGCAGACAGCTAAGAACATTTGTTAATAGACCTATTAGGCTTTCGAATTCATTAGTTATGATTATAACAAAGCTAGACTTTTAATTATTATTATTATCCCTTATCTTATCTTTTGAATATATTATTTTGAATCTCAACTGAAAACTAATCGATACCAAAATTTACAGAATTAAACCAACTGAATATTGTTTAGTGTTGATTGCAACATGTAGATTTAGAGAGAAATATCATATCACATCAAGTGCCATCTATTTTATCAGTATGTGTTTATTTGTAAGGAAATTGAATCATTTCTTAGGACCTCCCCCGCTGTCCTCAACCAGGCTTCCAACCCCGTATCCATTTGATGTGCCACACTACAATAATATGTCTCCAGTCCGTCCTTTCGGTGGTGGAAGCAGTATTCCCTTATCTGAGCAAGTCATTCCTGGCAGTAAAAGACCTGGTTTCTATAGACCAATGACTATACCGCCTTGGAATAGAAAACGTCCACCAAACAGAAGGCCTTCAATACCCACCTATAAACCTCTACCTCCTTTTCCTTCAGATATGGTCAGCTTAACATCAGAAAAACCCATGGAAGATATTTTAACTTTGGATTTAGGATCACACTTGTCTAGCACTGGCGAGGAGGATATTAAAGTAGGTGAATTAGATGTAGATAGAAGTAATGTAACTGAACCAGTAGAAATTACTACCGATATAGTCCTCGAAACATCAGAGATTGACCGAGAAATTATAGATTTTGAGAAAAATAAGGAGAAAGCTACAAAGTTAGATAAGTACACTAGTAAGACTACCGTGGTCACACCAACATTTAATACTGAAACCAGTACAGAATCAGTTGTACCTTCAATTGTAGAAAGTTCAACACCACCAACAACTTCAAGTGAAATATCGCCTTCTACATTAAAAAATTCATCCCAAGAAATCGCTCCCTCTCGTAGCATATCTGAAGAAATAGTCTCGACTTCAGTAAACGGTTTCCTAAATAAATCATCTCTTGCGATGAACACAACCGAAAAGACTGACACCACTTTGGAATCCTCCTTTCAAGAAATTATACAGACTTTGAAAGAAGATGTTTTGAATAGTACATCTACTCTTGCCAGTACTGAAACTGAGAAACTTCCAAATGTACTCAACACTTCAAGAATTATTTCAACTGAGTCCAAAACTGGAGAAACTACTGCTGCTTCGGGTAATTTTATACACATTTATAAAAACTATATATTTTTCTCACTAAATAATACATGTTAGTTAATTTGTTTTTATTCTTGACTTAATAATAACATATACGTTTTTATTTGTAGCTACAAACAATGACCAAGTAACGCCATCAAATCCACCTGGGTTACCATACTTTTCATATCGCCCAAGACCTGGCATAGTGCTAGATGACACGGAATATAAACCAGGGTTGGGAAACCGACAACCCATTATAACTAGGCCTCCAATTGGACAGATAGGAGATATTTTTGACATAACAGTTTCTGCAATTCAAGGACCTGGAGGAAGTTCTGCTGGCCAGGGCAAACCTTACGTAATACCTGGTAAGTTAACTTTTTTGGACTATACCATTTAAAATAACAATTTAAAATTTTAGTGGACATAGAGAATGTTCACTTAGGATCAAGTGCTGATGTAATAACAAGCTCAGTTGGAGAGGAAGGTTTTGTTTCTATCGATGGGAAAAGAACATATCTAAATTTGTTTGGAGATGCAGTTACTCCCTCTACATCAGTAGAACCAGCCATTAAACCAAGTGTCCCTTCAAATAATCAAGTTACAGGAACAGGATACGCAGTAGTTGAAACGGAAAAGACTGTTAAACCAAACATTGGGTCAGTAAAACCCACCCAGAGGAGGCCTTTGTATGGAAGACCTAGACCTAGCCAGCCCCCTGTTAGGTATATTTATACTTTTAAATGATTATAATAGTCCTACAATTTTTTTTTTACAGAATTGACACATGTATAGTAGGTGATGATTCCACCTGTGACGGATCACAACACGAGATCTGTAGGACAGAATCTGGAGTTAGTGCATGCCATTGTAGAGCTGGTACAGCCAGGCGAAAGCATAGAGATCCTTGTCGAAAAATCGTGTCTGTCTTGCTTTCACTTAGAGTAGACAGATTATATGATAGGAGAGTAGTATGGGCCACTGAATTAGGAGATAAAAATAGTGAAAGTTATCAACAGCTGTCGTTTGAGGCTGAAAGAGCGGTAGATATACTTTTTAAAACACATTATTTCCGCGTTTCTGAACATCACGTTTCAGCTGGAGTCTGCAATGTCCATGACACCGTTTAGTGATGAGTTCTTGGCAGCCAAAGTAAACAGCATATACAGAGGGAACAGGGCACAGGGACAGGCTGGAGTTTTCGTAAATTTGACACTACAACTTGACGAAAATGCCGATACAGCTCGTCCAACTGTAAGGGGGGATATACAAAGGCATCTTCTTGGAGTCATTCAGAGAAGAAGCAATAATGTTGGTAATAGCGCATTATGGGTTGACAGTCCTCCAGGGTCAGTGTCCAATTTACAAGGTAAAGTACTCGTAATTATAATTCATCATTGCAAATTATGAATTTTTTAATTTGAACAGATTTAGATGAATGTTCTTCTCCGGAGCTTCACGATTGTCACGCTTTTGCAAAATGTATTAATGTTTTTGGTGGTTTCAAGTGTGAATGTGGAGAAGGCTATAAAGATCCTTGGGCCGATAGTAAACACCGTGCCGGAAGACACTGTGAGCAGTGTTCTTCTCAGTACTGCAACAACAGAGGGGAATGTAAATACCAGAACGGCCAGGAGGTCTGTGTGTAAGTATTTAAAGATATTTCTACAGTAATGTGAGGTACCTAATATGACATAGGTGTATGAATTATTAGAGATTATGATTGAGTTATTAGGTAGAAACAGTTATGCTATAACGTTTAGACGACACACAATACACAGTCAGGAATTTTATTCAGAACAAATTATTGTCGTGCATTTAGGTCAGGCATTTTTTTCTAAATATTAAGTAATCACCGTCTAATTACATATTTACAGTCATTTTTTTTAGAACAGTTTTTACTGAGAGTAATATTTTACATATGGGGATTTTTTATTTTATATTTATTGCACATCATATTTTTACAGATGTTCGGGGAATTACTATGGTAATCAGTGTGAACTTGACGGAGAAGTTTTGGGAGTTGCCATTGGGGCAAGTGTAGCTGCTGTTATTATAATAGGATTGACCCTTGTATGTCTAGTAATGTGGAGGTAAGTGTGACTTGTTTCTTTTGACATTAAACAATTGTTAAATGTGCTTCATTCCAGTCGCCGTTGGAGCAGAGAACAAAAGGCTGCAGTTGGCAGCCCTGTTTTCGGATACATGGCAACTGCTAGTAACACTGTCAAAGCTCCAGTGGTGGGTGCTCCACCATACCAGCTGACTCTGGAGGATAGACTGAGGTGGGCCCAAATCGCCGATGTGATGGCCCAGGCTAACCATTATGCTGTAAGGAAATGTTATTTAATTTATAGGGTATCCCTTAATAGGTGTTATAAATGTTAACATCAGGTAATACACGTCAGTACAATGTTAACTCTTAATATGTCCTTCTTAGAATATACAGGGTGATTAATTAATATTACGTGGGGATTCCTTTAATAAGAATATATACTCCAGTCGAATTAGAGTATCAAAGTAAAAAAAATTAGTTATTTTATTGCACTGTATGACGGGGAAGGGTATGTAAAATGATAATATCAAAAAAGGAACTCGAAAGAAGTGATGCTAAATTGGTAAATTGCAAATAAGTTGCTACGTGTTTTTTCACTTTTTTTTGCCTATGAAAATCTAGACGATCTATCGGAATATTAGTAATTTTTTTGTTGTATGCAATTAAATTATCTACAATTTAAAGCATCTAAAGTCATATTTCACCTATTTTTAAAATAAAAGTCGAACATGGAAAAATTAGTTTTCGAAAGTTGCGCATTATTATTGGAAAAAACGATGGATGTTGATGAAATTTATGGAAAATACGGTCAATCCAAAGACCAACATATGTGCGAAAGGCCGATTCGATTGACCGTGAAATTGTTGCTCCAGGTAGGTATTTGTTAATTAATTCGTTCGTTTTTTTGCAACTAATTGTTCTAATCGATTCAAGAAAATGTATTGAAAAAGAAAATTTTCAAAAAGTTGAAATTAAGTAGCTCTTTACAATTAACAAAGTAGGACGTGCAAAACAGCGTTATAAACAAATTGTCCTAAACGCCGCTCGGGAATTCGCTCTTTTTGCATTAGGTAAATAGAGCTTATTTTTTCAGTAATTTAAAAAAAGTTACCTACGCCTCTTTGTTCCCATGATATTCTCTTTTTTTATAACGTTAATTGTTACTTAACTATTGGACGTATCAGACCGGGATTTTAGAGACGTTTAAAGAAAGGGTTAAACTCTTATTTTCAGAAAATTTTACATTGTAATAAACGCGCTAGTAGCAGTAAAAGTTAACGTTAATGAACAGCCTGCATGCGGAAGGAGCGCCGGGCCCGCGCATGTGCTTGGATACCGCTCTCGTCGTGCTCGAGATTTTTGAGTTGAACGTTCCAAATTCGGTTCAAAAACGTCGTGCGCGATCGAGGTCGTCTAGATATTCATGGTCAGTAAAAAAAGTGAAAAAACACGTAATTTTGCAACTTATTTGCAATTCATCAACTTCGTCACTTCTTTCGAGTTACTTTTTTGATATCATTTTACATACCCATCCTCGTCATAATGTGCAATAAAATATCTACTAATAGGTAATTTTTTTAAATTTTCAAGTATTTTGATCTAATTCGACTGGAGTAATTAGGAAAAAGTTCTTATGAACATCTGTTTGGAAAGCATTCTTTTTGGAGATCCTACTTTAAAAAAAAATTCATACTAAATCAGTTAATATCATCTCACTTTCTCAGTTTCTAATTAACCCTATGGATTTATGGTTGAAATGACATCGTCATTACGTGAAGCATTTGTTGCTATTTAAAGTACAAAAGATTGTGAAGAATATTATACAGGGTGGCCAAATGAAAACGAAACAGAGCCATTTTCAGGAACTGCGTCAAGATTGTAGAAATACTTATTAACAATTTTGATTTTAAAGTTGAAACTTATGTACAAACAATTAGTAACGGTAAAAATGTCAGTCATTCGAGTTAAGTACACCAATGGTATAAATTTAGTATTTCTTGCGTTACATTGGTTTTTGGCGATTTGTTATCACTTTCGTAAAAAAACACAATTGTAAAAAACAGAAATGAATGCTATACACACACAATGAACGTAAAATTAGTGGATTCCAAATTATTTTCTAGTATTATTTGGAAGCGTTGTTGGTTGGTAGTTTATTTAATTGTGTTTTTGAAAATTAAACACTATGGTTTATTCCATTGCGGAAAGGGTATATATAATTTCGCTTTACTTTATGAACAATAAATGTGCAAATAGAACAACTCAGCTATTTAATGAACAACATCAGGATCGACATGTCAGGAGGAAGTATGTTCTAGAGTTAGTAAAAAAATTTCAAGAGACAGGGAACGTAGCCAATAAAAAACGAGAAATTGGAAAACCTATAGTTAATGAAGCTAGTGAAGTTGCAGTTTTGGGACAAGTTCATCCTGATCCTACATTAAGTACGAGGCAGCTGGCATCTGTGTCTGGAATCAATCGAACTTGCATAGAAACCATTTTGAAGAAGAATAAATTCCATCCATACAAAATACATTTAGTCCAGGAACTTCATGAGGATGATTATGACCGCCGCGCGCCGTTTGCAATTTTGCGAAATAATGAGTGAGCGAGCAGGGAACGATCCACAGTTCCTTTTTAACATCTGTTTTTCTGATGAATGCAGTTTTTTATTGAACGGGAAGGTAAATCGTCACAATTGCCTCTATTGGTCCAATTCAAACCCAAGAGTTTTTCACGAGGTGCATACACAGCAACCGGAAAAATTAAATGTATGGGCTGGAATTTTCGGTGACCGGCTGGTGGGTCCTTTTTTTCTACCTGGTAATTTGATTGGCCAAATGTATTTGCAATTACTGGAAGACGCTATTGACCCTGCCTTGACTGATATTATTGAAAATGTTCCAGTGTATGATAAAGATCACTTGATTTTTCAACAGGACGGTGCTGCTTCGCCTTATGCGTTAATTGTTCGTCAGTATTTGGACCAACGTTTTCTACGGAATTGGATTGGGAGAAGAGGCAGCATTGAGTGGCCTCCACAATCACCGGATTTATCGCCCCTTGATTTCTTTTTGTGGGGATACCTAAAAAGTAAAATCTATAAAACACAGCCAGCGTCGCTGGAGCCGTCGAATCACTCCGGAAATGCTTCGGAATGTGCGCGAACGTTTCGAATAAAATCTTTATTCTTGTATGGAAGCGGGCGGTCATCAGTTTGAACATTTAATCAACTAAGTAGTAAGTAAGCAACTAAACATAATTTAAATTTTAAAATGTAATTTTTTTTCAAAGTATTGGGCGGAATTATAAAATTTAAAGTCTGTTGTAAAGACAATTGTAAGAGCTTTCAAATGAAATATTACTCAACCCCCAATGCCATTTAAATATTTAGGGGTGATGCTTACCCTTGCTTGGGGGTGAAAGTGGCGGAGTCAAAAATACCAGCAAAGAATGTCCCCTTTTAATCTAAAATCGACGGGTATGAGCGTTTTTCTGCAATCCTGGCGCAGTTCCGGAAAATGGCTCTGTTTCGTTTTCATTTGGCCACCCTGTATACTCTGCAACTAAAAATAATTTATTTTTCAATGTATTAAGTAAAGATGAAATAAGAGTACTGGAAAATGCTAGATGAATAATAAAATATAGATAATCTAATTCTACTTTGCCATTGTCAAGCTATAAAAAAAAACACACCACAGAAATGAGACAACTCCCAAATCCAAAGCCAAAGGCTGTGTGGAAGGGGGCTACAGTTGAAAAAACGCGGACAAACACCAATTATCCATCGACATTACCAGTGCCGACGCCAGGGATCGAACCTGGACCAGGATAGGAAGTCTGGCCGAGAAATACTTGCCACCGCATGCTCGACCGACTACGCTATCGTGGTGATAACTGATGAGAGATGGTTTCAATCTCAACGGTTTGTGTCCCGTTTCCCATTGCATAAAATTTTGACATTAAATAGTAAAAAACAGTCTTGAAGTAAAGATGCAGTTTACTAAAAGTTAACTAAAATTGGACAATTTCAAATAAACTGGAAGGAGATATTAATAAAACGATTTTTATGAAAATCAAATATGTATCTCGAAAAGATACGTAAAGATAAAGATATGTTTCCGGGTGTAGATGTTTATAAGTCATTGCGGTAGAAAATTTTTGCATATAAACGAAAAAAAATATTTGAAAAATAATAAACACGTTTATCTCTTCTGATAAGTGTTTACCAACTGCATGTCCTACACACGATGTTGGTAAAAATTTATTTTATCCACAACTGTGTGATAAAAGCTCTATTTCACGCATCTAATCTAGCCATGCAAGGTCATCCGTGTCGCACTGTGAGGAATAGTGAAACAAATGAACAGAACTGTCGTGTAATAAATGATCGGACCTAATTGATGTTTCACGTTTGTTTTGTTTGTAACGAAATGTTGCTTCTAAGTTGTTGAAATGGACCAATTTGCGTTCGAAGAGTATGTGGATATGCATATTATTTATGGCGAAGTAAGATACAACATTAGAGAAGCTGAGCGCTTTCCGAATCGTCAACATCCTTGCCGAACAACATTTTCGTCAATCCATCGTCGGTTAAGAGAAAAAGGCTACTTTAAACCTGTTGCAGGAAGTTGACATCCACGAACAGTACGGACAGTGGTCACTGAGGAAGAGGTTTTTCATCGAACTAAAGAACAACCTACCACAAGCCGGTTTGAACAATTTATAAATTTATTATTTTTGCAATATCCTTAATAAAAATTACGTAACTATCGAAGTCTTTTGGGGTCAACGTAATAATTAATAACATTACGCTGTTGGACAAAAATTGCTCCAGGGCCAAAACGGCTAATTTCCAACTAGGAAAAATTCTTCCGCAATGTCCTTTATAACCCCCTCAACACCTTTTTGAAATAACCTGTATACAGATATAAACTTTTTTACTCTTTTGACCACTCTATCCGCTGTTAGTTTGTAATACCTATTCAGTGACACCCTGTTTAATTGTGTTCTGGCAAAAGAAAATAATTTAATTTCATACAAAATAAAAATACGGAAAAACTGTGTAAATCATGTTTTTAACTGCATTATTCTAGCCCGAACCTGGCCTAACTGCCCCCACTCGTCCATCTTCGGCTTTGTTCGGTTATCCAAATCTTTCGATGAGTGGCACTCTGCAGCATCACAGCCATGGAACTCTACCGCCAGTGCCTCTTCCACGTCTTAACCTTCAAGCTCAGTTGGCCAATAGGGCCGCCAGTACCCGTGGTATGAGACCGCTCGACAATTCCAGTTCGAGCGAAGAAGAAGATAAGGCTGATTTGCTGGGAAGAAACTTCCAAGTTCCCAGACCTAAAAGTAGAAGTAATGCTTCAATTGCTGTAAGTATTTACTGCTTTATTATTAAGATATTTGAATGGAACAAAATGTGGATTATGTAAAAAATTCCGGGGAACCAGAATATGAAATTAGAAGACCAATTGAATAACAATTTAAAAATACAGGTATATGGTTAATTAAAAAAAACACCCTGTTTATACGAAATAGCATAGTAATATACTAGAAAGTTTTTACCAATTTTCATTTGTTAAATTTTGTGAGGGCTTCTTTTTTACTAAACTCGTACACCGTAGTAACAGTATTTTTGATTATTAGGAAAATATTCTACAAAATAAAAATTCTCATGTTTAAGATGGGCAGTTTCATAATTTCGAAAACTTTCAGCATCTGTAAGACGTAACCACCAACATCAAATATACCGAGTTTTATGCCTATACAGGGTGTTCCGTAATTAATTGGATATTAGCTAAGGGGTGACAGCTGACATCAAAAAGCGTTTGTGCCCAACATACCTTAATAAGATGTTACCCGTTTTCGTTCTTCCGGATCACGGAAGGTAAAGTACTGTATCCCCAAAAAATTTTTTTAAAGTATAAAGTACTCAAATAAATTATTTAAAAAATATTATTTTACGTTTGAGTGCCACCCTTATCATTTTTTTAAATATTTTACAATTAATTGTGTTAGTGATTTGAGTTCTTAATGGTTAACAAGCTGATTAAATTTCAATGCAAATTAAAATAAAAAATTAGTAAGTTATACAGGGTGAGCCACCAGTAACGCCTCTGTGGCTAGGGACCAAACGGCAAATGCTATAGAAACCTGTTTAGGTGGGTATGTGTACAACAAACATACATATTTATACAAAATCAATAACTTTTTATTATTCTGCTTATAAAATAATATATTTTATTAGAAAACTTTCTTCAATATTGTCATGATAGACGCTTTACCAATTCAATAAAGACCTCGATAAAGACACGTGAATACATCTTACAAAAAAATTCGATAAAAAACGAAAAGGCACAAATATCTCCAATGCCGTTAGAGATAGGTATAGGGAACCTATACACAGTTTGAAAGAGTTTTAAATTTCCTAACTTCCAAAGTAAAAATATACTGGGTGTCCCATTTAAAATAACCAACCATTTTTCTACGGTGCTTTCAAAAATGCAGTAAAATACAGGGTGTTCCATTTAAAAAAACATAACTTTGATATGGTACGCTTTTCCTGGACATCCTGTATATTTCAAAATATTTTTAAAATGTAGCCGCAATCAACCTACATATACCCACCTAAACAGGTTTCTATAGCATTTGCATTTGGTCCCTAGCCACCGAGGCGCTACTGGTGGCTCACACTGTATGATTTTTTTTCTGGACCTCGTTAAAAATTTTCAAAAGTAACCTTATTACTTGCCGACCCCTGTTCTAGAAGATGTTCGATTAACTTTTTTCCAACTATTTTTTGAAATATCTTGAAAGCTGTTCAACGGATTTCGATGAAATTTGGTATCGTGTTAATAGGTACTCAGCATGCGTAATATGAAAATGGTATTAATTTCACCATTAGCATTGCCACTGGATGGCTTCAGAAACATTAGTCTATTAACATGGCCATAACTTTTTTGTTCACCCTGTATGTACATTCTGTACGGAAAAAATATAAGGTGTTTTTCTCAAAAAAAAAATCAGTTTTTCGATCTATACAGTCTTTATCACGAAGAGGGCCCAGTAAGATTATCTCAAAAAGTAGTCAGAATTGAAATTTGAAATTTTGTATACAGGGGTTTATTAAAAATATCTATTCAATGAAAATAGTGTCAACTTCCTCGCACTTCCGGTTATATCGGAAGTCATCATCAGCTCTGTTATTTCAAATGGAACACCATGTATATTTATGCATTTTTTAAATTCTACGGCAAAAAGTTCTTGTGTAAGTTGGAAATTATTGATTGCAACACAGAAAAATCGACGAGTATGGTGTATTTGAAGCATCGTCCTTTTTAATGTAATATACTGAATTATTGTTTTTGATGAAGGTATAACAATAATAAAAATTACAGTTCATTAATCAAACACCGTTTATTATTCAATTCTTTGGTGCATCAAATCCACCGTACATTTTTCTGTGTTGAAATCAATAGTTTCCAATTTACACGAGAACTGTTACTTTAGTATTGGGAACTACAGTATCATTTTAAAGTAAATTTAATTCTGCATCCATTAATATAATAATATACAGGGTGTACCACTTGAAATATTTGAGTAAATTCAACTTTAACGTCATAATATTGGTCACACGTTCTTAAACACTCTGTATAAATTTTTGCAAATTTGACATAAACTGGTTGAATTTCATTGCTTTTGAATTATCCGTACCAAATTTCATTAATAAATAAAGCTAAATGTCGGAGTTATTTTGTTTCAAAAAATCACTTACATCCCTCAATTTTTTTCGAAAATTGATAATAACTTGAAAACTGTCATATTTTGGCCTATATTACCTTACATGAAATTAGTCTAGATTTTACCGTAGAATTAAAAAATGCAAAAATATACAGAGTGTTCCAACAAAGGTGATGATGACTTCTGGTATAATCGGAAGTGCAAGAAAGTCGACACTATTTTCGTTGAATAGATCTTTTTGATAAACCCTTGTATACAAATTTTCAGATTTAAATTTTGACTACTTTTTGAGATAATTCTACTGGGCCCTCTTCGTGATACACCCTGTATAAATTGATAACCAATTTCTCTGATTAAATATTCTGATTCCGCAGGACTATATGCAGTTTGTCCTATTCTGTATCTTAAAATTAAAGACATAATTCACAATAAAAAAAATAGATCCCACAGTGTACAGCTTTGGACAGAAAAAGATCTTCGAGCTAAACCCATTAAATGACTAATAAAACTAATAAAATATTGTTTTATAAAGGGACATACGAAATTTTGGTTGAAATTGTTAATAGATTGTACAAGGCGGGCCATTTACACTTTTAGGAGGTTCGAATTTTCGAGAAAAATTAAATTCGTTTGACGAATAGGTAATTCGTTGAATTCGAAATTCAATTTTTGATTCGTTTATTACAATATTCGGTTTTTTAAGTTATACTTCAAGGTTTTAAATTTTTTGTACCTAACACCCTCTATGTTGTTAGATTTTTTAAATCCTGATAAAGTTAAATGTGCAATGAATGTATCTATTGAATTACATTATAAAACAATTGAATTACAAACAATTTGATGTTCATAACTTTATTTTTTGTAAATATAATGATGATACATCATGTGAAGGTCAATTTTACGCATATATGAAAAATTGTAAAATAAGTAGAATGCAAGCTTAGAAACTATAAAAGTTAGCGTTACAACTGAAAAACCGGAAGTTATAGAAAAATAACGCATACACAACTGGATCTATTTAAAAAAAGACCCAAAACTATTTAATTTGGTTCACTCTGTATGTATGAGTAATAAATTTATATTACATTAACTATTTTTTTTTTCAGAACCAAAGTGGCATCTACTACGATGTAGATTATGATCAAAATGAAATCTACAAACAAACTGGTGGCATTCCATTGAGTACATACAGCATGGGCAGGCCACAATATTTCAGAAACTGAATTCTTAGATGTAATTCTTGTACATATATACTTAAATATTTTTGTAAAAATTTTTGTTCTTGATCTTTTTAGAAATATACTACACACGATAAGCATGCCAAGTAGAAAGTCTGAATTGTTTTTTTTTCATTCTAATCTTCTACTTAATGGAAAATTGACTTTTTTAAATGAAAACAGAAGACATTGGAATTGGATCGAGGTATTTACCAAATTTCAAATGTCTTTAGTGATAAGTGATAGTTTAACAGAAGTATCAAACAATCAATGAAAAGATATACTGAATAAAAGAATAAAGTAGCATTATTTTTCTATATATTCAGTTACATTTCTGAGATTCATTATAACAATGTAAATATATCCATCCCGTTGCATTATTTAGTTTTAAGAATATCAGAGATTTCAACTACAGATATCAGCAATTTGTGTTTTCTAAATTGAAAAATATTTCTACGTAGAATAATCTAATTAAGTGATATAATTTGATGACTCAAATTTAATTTTGTGACATCTCTTCATAACTATTATGTTGATAATTTAATTATGAAATTTTTTTGAAACTGGAGTATGTAATTATTTATAAATAATTTTATACATGTACTGTATACGGCACATTAAAAGACATTAAGGAAATTATTATCATAATTTATTGATGGAATAATTGAAACATAAGTAGTGTCCAGCTTATGAAAAAATTATTTCAAGTGAAGTTATTTATTATGATTTATAGTAAATTTAATATGAGAAGGCTTCAAAACTATGTATTTACTACGCTCAATAATGAACATTATTTAAGTTAAGTTAAAGCATTGTTATTTAAATATAAAAAATTAAGTAAGTATGATATGGAATATTTATGCCTAATATAAAACTATTTAAAATAATCTGTAGGTACTCGATATAGAATAATTTTGTTTGTTGTGTACATACATTTATATATAGATAAAATTGTTTTTTTATATTATTATGTTTATATTAATAAAATTATACATGTCCTAATATTCTTGTTATTGTCATTAATCGTGTATGGTAAATGGATGGTTCAGTAAAATGTTAAAAATTCAATAAAATAGAAGATACGTGAGACACCCCTACGAATGCGCCGCATATGGATATTATTTGCTTAAGATCATCAGTCAGTAGAAATGTTCAAAGGTATATCAGTAAATATGTTAATTTTTTTGGTCACAAATACATATATCGAATCGGTATATGTCTGGTGGCTCTACTGTTTACCAGATATTGAGAATGTAATTCAACATTGAAACATTACTAAAGTATTATTAAAGTATTAAAAGTTTTCAAATTATTAGTATTTAAAGATTTTATTTCACCTAGTACGACACTAGTATTGTTTGCATAGTACCTGTAGATTAACATGAAGATTAGCGCTGGGTAGTAGTGACCATTATTTAAAATAAAGCATACTTTGAATGATATATCTCACCCATGTCTCACATCAAGTTCTGAGTTAACCTCAACTGGAGGGTTATTTCTAGGACACTTAACGAGAGGTTTTCTTCTACTGGTTATAGAACTTCTTTCTGTACACCTATGAAAAACTACATCTATTTACAGTATTCTTGAGGTGTAGTATTGCCACTGTTACAATTTTGGATCACAATCTAAACACATTAAATTTACTTTAAACTAAAATTTTTAAACAAAACAAATGAGAGTCGTGAAGACATGCACTTGATGAGTGGCTCTATGATATTTCTTAATCTAATTCTTATCGAATATCATTCATTGGGAATTATATTTAATATATTACCATATTCATATGAGAAATTGTGATTATATCAAGTAGTACCTGTATTATTTAAGGTACCAGATTTTTTGAGATTGCCATGCTGTGGTCTAGGAATTTTTTACCTGCCCTGGGCGTTCTCGGGTTAGGCTTTGAGGGAGCAAAAACCTTAAGCCCATCATAATATTGATTTCTCTTGTTGGTTTTAAGACGAAACCGCTCAAACAATGGCGGTCCTTTAAAACGTCCGTAATGGCCTCTGTGAATGGTTTCGTCCAATGTTTCGAAACGTTTCGCCGTTTTTCACTGTCGGTATCTAAATAAGCAATGCCAATAGCACTGCTACTAATTTTTGTATATTACCCATCAGGATTCTAAAAATCACTTATCACAGTCCCACAAAAAAAGAAAAGTGGTCTGTTCCAAAGATTATACCTGTATATCTTTATGTATTTTGACGTGCCGAATCCGAATCCGGAGCCAAAATTGCTCCATCACCCTCCATTTTTTTTTTCATTGCGAAAAACCGTCTTTAAATACAGAAAATATGGAAAAACATATTTTCTAAAACAAGAGGATGGTCAACTTTATCTTTCATCCCTATTTCTTATATCTATGGGATATTAGATACAGAAAAGAATCACTACGAACAGAAAATATGGTCAAAAATAACAGATTTCTATCTAGGGTTGAAAACCATCATCCGCGGACCCTTAGTTGATCCTTCAAATATTCTGCATCCACTTTTCCATATTAAACTTGGTCTCAAAGCTTTGGACAAAGAATGCGACTGTTTTGGATATTTAAGAGAAAAGTTTCCGGAAATAAGTGATGTTAAACTGAAAGAAGGTATTTTTAATGGTCCTCAAATCCGTACCGTGTTCAGAGATGAAAAATTTATCACAACACTGAAAGATACTGAAAGAACAGCACGGCTAAGTTTCAAGAGAGTCACTCAGAATTTATTGGGGAATCAGAAGAGCGAGGATTACAAGAATTTAGTTGAGGAATTGTTGGAAAACTACAAACAGTTGCCTGATACACTTGAAATTGCATTTTGACTATTTTCCGGAGAGCCTCGAAGACTACAGCGAAGAACAGGGTGAACGATTTCACCATGATATCAAGCAAATAGAGCGTGGATATCAAGGAAGGTGAGATATTAATATGATGGCAGATTTTTGTTGGATGCTTAAAAGGATAAACGAGCCAAAGACAGAAAAGAGATACATAGATCGTTTGAAGATAAAACAGTTTGTTACAAAAGGAAAAAGGAGTAAAAGAAACATCATTTTTTATCTGGAAATGATGTTCACATCTTCCAATACACTCATCTCTCTTTGCGGGCATCAAATAGCGGAATTATAAAATTTAAAGTCTGTTGTAAAGATAATTGTAAGAGCTTTCAAAAGAAATATTACTCAACCCCCAATGCCATTTAAATATTTTGGGGTGATGCTTATCCTTGCTTGGGGGGGTGAAAGTGGTGGAGTCAAAAATATCAGCAAATAATGTTCCCCTTTAATCCAAAATCGACGGGTCTGAGCGTTTTTCTACAATCTTGACGTAGTTCCTGAAAATGGCTCTGTTTTGTTTTCATTTGGCCACCCTGTATATTATACATTATTTATAAATATTTATTTATCATTTTTGATCATTTATATTTTTTATATATCTTTTAGTCGAATCATTCAGCCCTAACACATTGTGAACAAAGTATTCAATGGTTGAAGACTAGGTTATTAGTGCGCAGAAAAGTAAATTAGGAGAATATCATCGATTAGAGGCTTATTTGAAGCAAATATCGAAAGAATGTATTCCAAATAAAATTTTAGATGTTGAAAAAACAGCAAGTTTATTAGAGAAGCATCAAGTCATACATATCTTTTGGAAAAGGTAATATAGGAAATAATTGGCTATACAGGGTGTCCCGTAAAGTATGTTACAAACTGGGTGGTGATAGTACATAAAAAAATATGACTAAAAACTCTAATAAACATAACCTCTTAAACGCGGCGTTTTGAAGTTATAGGCCTTAAAAGGTGCAACTACAAAAGTAGTTTTTGTGACGTAACTCTTTGTTCGAAAAAGAAAACATAATGAAATTTTCAAGGACTAGTTAGCCTTAGGAAGCCAATAAATAATGTGGATATTATTAAAATTGAGAAAGCGGAAGGGTGTTTTTTATCACCCTGTATCCTATTTTTAGCCAAAAAAAATTTTTCTGCATAGATACAGCAAATATCATAAGATTTTTAGAAAGACCATTGAATTTAGAAATGTTTTTGTCTCTTGCATTTTTTATGTAAAATGATTAGTTTTCTAATAAATTTACAAAATGCAAAGGGAGTTTACTCACCGCTAGGTGTTAAATTTGACGTATTCAAAAAGTAGGCGCCTGTCACTTTTAACATAGTTGACATTTGTTACCATATTTTAATCGTGTCTGTTGACGAATTATTAATTTGTGAGTACAATGGCGGATAACAATCGTTTTACTAATCAAGAATATGCCGAAATGCATTTTATTTATGGATTATGTAATGGAAATGCAACAGCTGCTCGAAGAACATACATAGAACGTTATCCGCAGAGACGTCAGCCGTCTACACAATTATTTACTCGGATTCACAGACGGATTATTGAAACTGGTAGTGTGGTACCCCGTTACATACATTGTGGTAGAATTGCTAGAAGACTACCCGCGCAAGATGAACAAATTTTGAGATCTTTTGAACAAAATCCGGGAGAAAGTGTGCGAAGGGCAGCTAATCAGTTACAGCTTTCCAGAATGTCAGTTTGGCGTGTTTTGAAGGAAAACGGCCTTTATGCCTACCATCTCCAAAAAGTGCAACATTTAATGCCTGAAGATCTTCCCCGACGCCTAGAATTCTGCCGAATAATACTTAACCATCACCAACATAATGTGGAATTTATTAGCTCCATTTTATTTACCGATGAAGCCACCTTTACACGAGATGGTTTACTGAACTTGCACAATGCACATGCATGGTCAGACGAAAATCCTCATGCTACCATTGATAGTCATCACCAACACCGATTCTCAGTCAACGTATGGGCTGGAATAATAGGTGACTATTTGCTCGGGCCTTTCTTTCTACCTCAAAGGCTTGATGCAGTAGAATATTTAAACTTCCTAGAAAACCATCTCCCTGAGTTAATGGAAAATGTTCCTTTAAATTTGAGACAATACATGTGGTACCTCCATGACGGGGCACCTGCGCATTTCAGTGTTCATGTTAGAGAGTATCTACATATGCGGTTTCCTAATCGATGGATTGGAAGAGGATATAATGCACCAATAGCCTGGCCACCGCGATCACCGGACTTGAATCCTGTCGATTTTTATCTTTGGGGACACGCGAAATCTCAAGTTTATGCAACCCCTGTTGATACAGAAGATCAACTTAGACTGCGAATTGTAGAAACCTTTAATTTAATAAGAAATAGTCTATTCATATTCCAAAGAGTCAGATTTAACTTTATAAAGAGACTGACAGCATGTATCGATGCAGAAGGAGGTCAATTTCAACATTTATTATAATAACATATTTTGTTTTAGTTCTGTTTTGGTTACTTAATTAAAAAAATTATTTTGGAAATTGATTGTATTCTTAAAAATTCACTAGGCTTAAGAAATGTATGTAAATAATTCGGAAGCACTCATCTCTCTGCATTTTGTAAATTTACTAGAAAACTAAACATTTTACATAAAAAACACAAGAGACAAAAAAATTTCTAAATTTAATGGTCTTTCTAAAAATCTTATGATACTTGCTGTACCTTTGCAGAAAAATTTTTTTTAGCAAAAAATAGGATACAGGGTGATAAAAAAACACCCTTCTGCTTTCTCGATTTTATTCATATCCGCATTATTTATTGATTTCCTAAAGCTGATTAGCCCCTGAAAATTTCATTAAGTTTTCTTTTTCCAACAAAGAGTTACGTCATAAAAACTACTTTTATAGTTGCACCTTTGAAGGTCTGTAACTTCAAAATGGTGCGTTTAAGAGGTTATGTTTATTAGAGTTTTTAGTCATATTTTTTTATGTACTATCACCACCCAAAGTTTGTAACATACTTTACGGGACACCCTGTATTATTAGGTTGTTCTAGTAATGGGTGTTTTTGCAGGATTAAGAAGAGAGGAGTTGGTAAAGCTCTCCATAGATGATATAAATGATAAAGGAATCGTTGTTGTAATAAACATTAACGATACAAATACGGGAGTACCAAAATATTTTCCTATTGTGGAAGAAAATTAAATGCGATGTCTTTGCGACCAGAAGAAATTAAAGAACACCGGTTTTTTCATATTGAAATGTTCAACGTACTGCGCAACCAGTAGGCAAAATTATCTTCGGTAGCATACCGTCCAATATTGTAAAATATCTCGGCTACGCAGATGCTAAAATGTACACAGGTCATTGTTTGCGTCGTCCATCGGCAACTTTTCTCGTAGTTGCAGATGCAGATATGATAACATTGAAAAGACATGGGAAATGTAAGAGTGATACTATACATCGGGATATGTACAAGATAAATCGAGTCGAAAGAACTAGTGATAACAATTTTCCTGAATTGATTGTGAGGGGGAAAATGAATAACATTTATTCGATGGCCAAGAAAATTTAGATAGTTTTTCTGGTGTTACTGTTAAAGGTTCCTTCTCAAATTGTACTTTCGTTTTTAAAACCGGTTTTTGTAATTAATTTAAGGCAAATTATTGTTATATATTAAATATTAATGTTAATAAACTTTGTACTTTCATTTGTCTGCTTCATTTATACAAGGCACATTTACTACCGTTGCCGAAAAGAGGGGTACAAAATATTTCGCCCTAGAGTGATATGACGTTTTCCTATTTCGCTTCCTAGTAATAAACAAGCTATATCGCCTAAGTGGGAAATAAATAATCATAATATTTGTATTTATGACACCAAAATATACAATAAAATGAACCATCAGCTGTGCTACAATTTTCCAAATTTTTACTACTGAGTATCTGTTTACCTTCTGACACTTGTATATTCCAATGAGACGTTTCCAACATACAAAGCACGAAAACCAAATACTGTTATTCATTTTATATACCGCTCTCTGTAAATATATTTTTTACAAATGCACCTGCCTATATCTGAGATTAATTCACCATCTGTAAGTACCTAATGGATTTGTACAACTATTTGCTTAAGTCTTCGGCCGCTATGATGTTAATCGCTTCACATGAATTTTAAAGGAACATGTAAAAAAATGTTGACCATACCATTAAAAACCGTTAGTAGATGTTTGAAAAATGTTCAGTTATGTACATACATACTTAAATAAGAACTAAAACAGGGCATATAAAGGGCCGGTGTGAGACATGATGGGAGTTATTGCCGCTTATGAACTCAGTAGTAAAAATGGCGAGGATTTTATTAGTATTGTTGTGGATGAGGTATGTGTATTGCGGTTTTTTTGATCTGACGGACGTGGATGATCCGTTCTCTCTTCTTTGGAATTCTAGACGTAAGTAGGACTGAAATTATATTTCTATAAAATAAATTACAAACGAAATATCTAACATAATGTACAGTCTATTAAGAATGAGAGCAATTTTATAACTTTTTTAGAAATGATTCGATTTGAACAAATTTATTGAAAAATGTGGAGCACAATAAATTGTATTTATAAAAGTAATTTTCTGGCTTGAAAATTGAGAAAAGTCTTTAGGAATTTTTTAATTAATATTGCAGTCACCGTTCAATGAGTGCATATCAAGTGTTCGGATTTTTTTGCAAGTAATATTTAGAAAATATGTATTTTTGAAATAAAACAAATAAGAGAGAGTCCACCATGCCATTTCTTTTTAAAATAGTTTAAGAAAATATGTATAGTTTCTATAATATAAAAAATTTCTTGAGTTGAACATTGGAAGGAAATGTTTCAAAATTAGTAACTTTCTATATACTGGCGTGTATTTCTATGTACTGGCCATATTTTTGCATAAATGATTCCTAACAGCTTTTTCTCGTGTATTAGGTAAAAACAAAAATCTTTTAATAAAAACAAAAGTTAGTATTGCTTAGATAAAATATAATTTGTTGTAACGCATATTTTTATTTTAAAACTGTTAAATTCGAATTTTGTAATCGTAATGAATACTTTTAATTAGCAAATCTGGTAGTGATCTGTGAAGTATAGTAAAATCGATTTGATCTTACAAATTTACATTTGCAGAACCTAATTACAAATTGACGGAGTGTAGAACACAAACTCAGAGTGGAATAAAATTTGGGGTTTGTACACCCCACAGCAATTGTTTACTCTCTAAAGGAAAACCTAATGGATTTTGTGGAATATTTTCGACTTGCTGTGTGTGTAAGTACATCAATGACTATGACAATACGAATAACTAATAAAATGTTATATCATTCGAGATGATTGCTCTAAAAGTGTGAAAACTAATTTTTTTTTTAAACGAATAGTCAAGTAGTCACCTTATTGATGAATGAAAAAAATATATATAATCTATAAGACATATACATTTTAGTTCGGTATAATATAATGAATATCTGTAGATTATAAATGGAGCTCGGAGTTTTCGTCGGCTGGTCATAGACGTGTTCGTCGTAAACAAATAAGTAAACAGGTAGGTATACATAAAAATAAATAAATTTGCGTACTTTATCAGCGAAATGTCGTTTTTTACCCCCTGGCGTGTTCGACATTATTAAAATATTAAAACACGTATACACAAAGCAAACGCGATGCCAATAACTGCCGTTATTACCGGTTTCGTACGATGCGCTGTAGCGAAAAGCCGACGCGACGGCTTTGATTATCCGACCGAGTCCCGAGCTCTAATTATAAATGTGCTAATTAATAATGTGAAGAATTTTATGAATTGTAAAAATGCAAATACATTCTGAATGAAAACTATTTTATAATATCTATGACCATGTTAACTTCTCCTTATTATAGTTTTTTCATTATATATTTTATTTGTCGTTTCTATTCGTTTTAAGTAATTAATTATGTAATGTTACATTAGTATTATTAATATACAGGGTGTCCGGAAACAATTAAAAAAAAAACGATGTCAAAGGGCCTTCTTCAAAGAGCCCTACCTCTCTTAGGAAGCATTTTTAGATAAGACGATTTATGTCAAATCGATATCATGATCATCCCTAGAATTTGCTGTCTTCGTTTGTCGGTTTAGTTCCCTGACATCCTGTGTAATATTAATTAATTAAATTGTTTTTAGTTGAAAGTACCTGTGGAAAAACTAGTAATTCCAAGGTGGGATATTTTGAAGGTTCTGACCTGACCAGTTCGCTAGGTAGTTGCAGTTATACAGTGAAACTCAAAAACACTAACGTGTGCCAAATAAGGTACGTGCCACCTGATATAGGTAGAACATTATGTCGAAGACTGAAAATATACAAATAGATAACAATGCTCACAGTACCAACCCATCTTTTCTTTATCAAAAAGGCATTATTTTAAGAAATATATGTCTAAATAAATGCCTAAATTGAATTTATAGAAAATTCAATACCATTTGGATAACGAAATTATGATACGATTCCCTAAATAAATACTTTATTTAGAATTATAAAACTTGAGAATTTTTTGAAAACTGATACTGATGTATAGTAATACTATACAGGGTATAAGAAGTATGACTGCCATACTTCAGCATGAGACAAAGTAATCATAAATAGACAAAAAAGTTGTATATGACAGGAGAGTAAGACAGTTTTCAAAATGCAGCGAGTATTAATATTGGGGAGTTTCATCACAACGTGACAACAGCGCTACACAGCTGATGCACACCACGTGTGCACGCGGCAAACTTGTCCTACGTTAAAAATGTAAACAACTATTATTGTGATTTGAGTCGTCAGTGCCGCGAGAAACAACTACTCCGAGAGCTATTTGCCCCTACCGGCATTGAATTATACTCGCGACACCTATACTCCGCGGTCGAAATTATAGTGACTCATCGCTAGCTTTTGGACTAGTAAGGGGGATGAAGCGTGCCGGGAACGAAAATCCATTGGCGTGTCTGCGTAAAAGGCAAGTTTGTTAAACTAAACTGACAAACGATCCTAGCTGTTGTACTAGGTGTCGCGAGTATAATTCAATGCCGGTAGGGGCAAATAGCTCTCGGAGTAGTTGTTTCTCTCAAACATTGTGTTACGCTCTCTGTGGGTGGCAGTCGTGCAACAAAGTACCTGCAGTTAGCAGGTCGCTTCCCACTGTAGTCATTTTAATGACACAGTTGGAAGTCTGCACGACAGATGGAGCCATTGGCTCTCGCGTACAACTATTATTGTGAAACAGTTATAGTAGGATCATATTTGATGCAAAGTAATAAATCATTGCCTGTCAAGGGAATCAGTGCAACACGTTTTAGGGGGTTTTGGAAATTGAATAATTTCTTTATGCATTATGGATTAATAGTTATATATTTATGAAGGACAAAATGAAAAACAAAGGCATTTCCTTCGCACATTGGGTGGCAGGGCAACAATACATTTATTACTCCCTCATATGACTTGTGTCTTGTGTTTTTTGCGGCGGCGCGCGTGCCGGCCTGGCGTGGTCAGTTTCGTTTCGGTTGTATTGTGCTGCGTGTTTCTCGCTCGCGATATTTGTGAGGTTATAACTGTTATAAGTGCAATTATATTTCGTTCGGGCTGTATGTGTGTTTCGCGCTATTATTTGAGAATTTGTGAGTGAAATCATATTTCTTCTGCTCCGTAACAAAAGTGTTTTTAGTGTTTTATTTGTGTGCTGTGTGTGCTTGTGTGTTTCGGGCTGTTGTTTGTGAATCCTGAATGCTATTATATTTTCTGTGCTAGTGAAGTGAAGTTTTTTGTATTATTATTGCTCTGTTGTCGTTATATGGAGAAATGGAGGCGGTGCTTGGATGTTCGCAAGCCGGTTGTACTGCTGTAGGTACAAAAAAATCTGTATTAAGTTACAGAGAAAAAACGATAATATTAAATGTCTTTAACGCTTTAGAAAAGGATCATCCCATGAAACTGAAGACTGGTTTGGTGGAAATGTGTTCTAGATATACTGGAGTAAGGGAATCATCTGTTTTCAAAATTTTAAGAGAGAAGAAAAATTAAGGTGACATTAAGAAACCTAAAAAAAGGGGGTGGAAAGAAGAAATTAATATTAAATGAAGATGAGAAAAATGCAATGCAATACGGTACATAAATCATAGAATTTATATTTTGCTTATAAGAAAAATAACTTATTTTGTTAAGATTGATAGAGAATTGTTGTTAGTGTTTTCATTTGATAGAATCATATCATAGGATTTATATTTTGTTTTTATTCTGTAAATATTTATATTATATCTGTTATACAATGTTTTTGCTTTGAAACTTCGTTCTCCTTATAAAAAAAAGAATCGTAATGGGGTGCGATGAAGGGATCAGTTCACGTCTGGAACCCTGTTCCTACAAAATTTTTTTTTATTCTTATAAACTATTTGTTTTAAATGTAAGTTATTATAAATCTAATTCGTTATTTAAATTCAACATATGTACTACATTTCACCTCTGTACGCGCCACTGTTTATTGTTCCCTGCTTTACGATCAAGCTCGCCAAGTTAGTATTTGACGTATAACCGACCACTTCGTACACTCGATGCACCTGGCCGACTACAGCTAGTACCAGAACACAGTGCGTATGCAGCGGTATTTCAGATTTTACATTCAATTTCATTTTAAATTTGAAAAGGTTCATCTTTACGCCTCCTAAAAATGATGACACGATTTTCCTTTGATAAAAGGTCGACAATTTTTTGCTGTACTTTGCATCGAATACGATCCTACTATAGTAAATTTCAAGACAATTGTTTTGCAGTTTTTAAATAAATAAAATAAAATGTATCGATTTTGTAGTACGAAGATGGAGTTGTGCTTAAATTTTAGCTGGAATTTTAGTAATTATGAATCTCTTAAAACAGGAACTTAACTTTTAATCGAATTATGAATTTGAATAATACGTAATTAAAGTACTCAAAGATTCACATCGTTCAAATAATCATACGTATTAAAAATAATACTTACCAAAAAGCAAAATCAGTAATTTTTAAACGCACAAGTACAAAACAAAGTATAGCATATGCTCAAAATATCCACCATCATTTTCGATGCACGCACGATACCTACTTTCGAATCGAATTTTCGCACATCCGCTGGAAAACACCTCAAGAAAAGGAAATACTTAGTGGTACGCAAAAAACACTCCGACACGGTACAATTCCAGATATCAAAACCTACTGAATTGCGTATTACTGGATAGCTTAGTAGCGTACCGTTGTCACATTGCTCGATATGAATTTTATCGAATTTTAAATTTATTACAAATCTAATTATTTTTTAGAATTAAGCATAAAGAAGTTCAAAAAAGTGATAAATATTGTATTTTATGGTATTATATGCACCCAGTTATGTCGATATTCCTTAATTAATCGAACTTTTGTATATTAAGTTGGAGATTTTGATAATTTGTTTCTTGGAAATGGTTGAGTTTAAGACCATGTCATATAAGGTTTTTTTGTTTATTTTAATGTATTCTATCATTTGTTAAAATTAAGGCAGTCAAACTTCTAACATCCTGTAGAATACTGTTACTCTCCACGTTTATTTTGTTTATCTGATATTCATTTGGTGCGAGTGCACACATGTGTGGGTATTTATTAATTTTTTCAACATATCTGTTACTAATTACATTTTTTAGATTGGATTTTGTGAAATTCCAATTAGCCCCAGCAACATTGACAAACGTGGTCACCGCACCATATCCCGTCTTCAAATGTTCCCACGATATGATGAAGATACATCCGAATCACTACAACGTTCCCAATTTGTGTGGCAATAATGATAAACAACATGGTAATTATTTATTAAAGACGTGCCCCCACTTGTTAGTTACATACCATACGAAATACAAAACTTAGCTATTTATAATTTCTTTTTATGATTCCAAATTTCCCTGGCAAACTAAATATTGTCATTGTTCTTAGTTTATATCCATGTGAACCAGTCCGATGGTGTAACTAAGGGTGTCCAGTTGGACATCACATTAGCAGATCGTGTTGCCAATCCTCAGTTAGAGTCGCCTTCTTGGAAAATAAAGGTAACACAGTTGGAGTGTCCTGGAAGGACCAAAGGATTTAACTTGCCCAGCGATGAAGCCGTCCAAGATTTTCCTCTGTTAGGTACGAAAATTCTTTTTAAAATTATTAGTACAAATTTATTTAATAATAACCACAATTTCTTTGGGTTTTATAAACTCCTTTGCAAGTGTTTGTTGAAGATATTCCTTCATTAAAAAATACAAAAAACTGTTTGTTTGGGACTTTTTTCCAGCTTTTCTGACTATTTCGTTTTTTAAACCAGTATCTGTCCATAAAAAGTTGAAAATCATTATCGCTTTATAATATAAAGATCCACATCTAATCTTCTATTCGTTAGTGACCTCATCCATAGTACTGTTAGCCTTTAATCATAAATGACAGTCGATAGAAATTGTTTCAACGATTGCGACAATTGTTGCAAATTGTCGTGTGATATATGTTTACTGTAATAATACGTCGAGTAATTTCAGTAATTTAAATCTTCAAAGATTTCAAAATACATTGCAATATTACATTATATTACAATAGAACTAGAAAAAAAGTCTTAGTGACTCCATCTGATTATTGGGTTTTTGTAAGTGCAGTGGTAATCTTGATTAATTTTAAATACACAGTTTTTATTTGCAATTCAAAGAGGTGTGCGGACAAATCATTATTTCCGGAATCGGAGAACTGATGCAGTAAATTAATCTCCTATTTCAGCTCCTCTGGGTGCTATTCAATATTTTACCGACACCACTGGTTACATCAAGTCGTTTGGATTTGATGGATCTGTTCCCCAACAAAGTTACACATACGATCAGAAATACGCCATTGCTTTCAAGAGGGACATTAACACTTGCGGAGTTAAGTAAGTAGTTTTGTCATAGCAACAAAGGAAAATATATAGATCACTTCACTTATTCTACAAAACTCTGTGGCAAAAAAAAGTTTTTAAAATGTTAACTGCCATCTGAAGAGTAGTTTGCTTTACTAAAAACGATATTTTCAAAGAAAATTGTCACTAACGAATCAGGCAAGTAGACAGAAGAAACATAGGTACTGAAACTGAAAGTACGTACTTAAACCTATACAGGGTGGTCCGAATTTTATGTAAGAAACTTCGAGGGTAGATAGATCTCTTTAAAATAATATGTGTTTGCCCCGTTTTAGAGATTTTTTTTTAATTTTTTGTTTATATCTCCGGAATCTATTAACCGATCTAAATAAAATTTGGTACAGATAATGTCTGATAGTAGGCCTTACATTTCCTAAAATATGAGCTTTAAAGGTTCAACCAGTGGTGTACAACTGGACAGGGGTCACTTCTTTTTTTACAAAAAAACCTACGCCACTGCATTTTTTACAAGTTATTGTAACGTACACAAAATACGTAAAAAATGTAACTTTAATTTTTTCCCTAAGATTCGCCGTTCTCAAGTTATTCAAACCAATACTTGCCTTGTGGCTGACACTTCTAACTATAATATTACAAGAATGTTTATGCTTATGCTTAAAAGTAAATACAATTTGTAAGCACATCAACAAAATTATTTACACTCCTTTCTACACCACATATATTTACCAAGCAGCAGCGACTAAACAAGAAACAAAATTAACGTTACGTATTTACAACAATTGTATTACACTCGTCTTGTATTCGTTGCAGTAGTATCTCTTGGAGTAGATTAAACTTTACTTTTCAGATAACCCCAAACACCGAAGTCCAGGGGGTTTAGATATGTCAATCTGGCTGGCCAAGACACTGAACCCTTTGCATAATTATGGTTGACATTGGCATTTAGTCTTCTACCAATCCATCGACCCAAATAATTTTAATTAAGCCATTCTTATATTATTCTCCCAGAATGCGCAGGAGCACCATTCATTGTATCCAGCTTTAATGGAACATCCTCTAATAAATCAAAGAGATGGTTTTCTAGAAAGTATAGAAATGACTGGAAATTTAGACGGGTTTAGAAAGGTCCACAAACTTTATTGTGAATTATTCCGAGCCACACGTTCATAGAAAATTCGTGTTGAAAAGATCTTGTTTCATGAGGATTTTCTCGTGATCAAATATGCAGGTTGTGAAAATTTTTTTGGTAAATGTACATTTATTATTATTATTTTGATTTAAGTTGTCCTTATTTGTAAAGATAGTGGGTTAGGCTTCCAGGGGAAATTAAAATGCGTAAGGAAGTAAGGTGGTGTGGAAACAAGTGTAAAGAATTTTGTTGATGTGCTTACAAATTGCACTTACTTTATACCATAAACATAAATATTCTTGTAATAGTTTATGGTTAGATATGTCTGCACAAGGGGATTGTATTGGTATGAATAACTTGAAAACGGCGAATCTTAGGGAAAAAATTCAAGTTACTTTTTTTTACGTATTTTGTGCATTAGAATATAAATCCGTTACAATAACTTGTAGAAAATGCAGTGGCGAAGTTTTTTTTGTAAAAAAGGGTGACCCCTGTCCAGTTGTACACCACTGGTTGAACCTTTAAAGCTCATATTTTAGGGAATGTAAGGCCTACTATCATACATTACCTGTACCAAATTTTATTGAGATCGGTTAATAGATTCCGGAGATATAAACAAAATATCATTTTTTTTAACAATTTCAACACCCTGTATCTCTAAAACGGGGCTGTTCCAGACCGATGTTTATAAGGCAACACATATTTTAAAGAGATCTATCTGCCCTAGAAGTTTCCTGCATAAAATTAGGACTACCCTGTATAACTTTACAAAGATGCTTAATAATGATTAAACCTACAACTTTATGTATCTACCATTTTAATTTATGAACAATTAGACACTTGAAATATAGGACCATGATTTTGAAGTCCTGAAATCTTTACGTTCTGTAACATAGGATGTTGCTCTCAGATACTCCGCGACATCTTTTGACCAAATGCTGAAATTGAATAAGTCTGGAATACAGGAAATGCAACGTAATATTTTCCGGAACTGGTAGATGGGACTAGTGTCTATTTTCATATTAAGGCTCAATAAGTCTTTTTATAAAACGGTGTTACGTAACAAGATGATATTTGAGTATAGGTGAGATATAATCTACAAATTATGTTATATGTATATCTATTGCCACTGCTATTCAAGTGTCTATTTGTACAAAGCCTGCTGGCACAGAACAACCCACTAAACTGCAGATACTACATGAAAGTAGTGATATTGCGGGCGTAATTATTTAAGCCTCGTCCGTTATTTAGTGGTGGGGGCTTTAGTCCGCAGAGCAGTTGTTTCCTACAATGTCCTTAGTTAAGATGATTTATTTTGAATTAAAGAATATTTTTTTGAAAATAATATAAAATAATAATATAAAGACAGAAACAATTAGAAGAAATAATAATGATTAATAGCTGAATTAAAAAAAATAATTTAATCATTTTATAGGTTTACTCCGGAATATATTTATTTACAACGTGATGATGTAAACTTTGTTGAAGATGTCAATTGTAAGCATTTCTTATTTGTACCGGATTTATATTTCGATGACACCCTACAAGTAGAACACAATTTGGTATCCAAGGTTTGTCTAACTGAGGCTGAAGTGTTTAGATGTAAGTATTATCCATTCTTTATCAACTTATAATTACGTTTTTATCGTCCATATTTATTGAAAAATGTCAAATTTAAGCAGTATGTCATTGAGTTAGTTCATCTATTAAATTTTTATTAGATTTCTAGAGCTAGGTGGAAGAAAAGCCCACATTTTTATTTAAATACATACAGGGTGATTCAGAACTTATCCAAAGAAAAATTTAAATGTACAGAAGACTCTTACAAATACAAGTGCAATAAAAAATGAACTGACAAAAAATTGAAAGAATTTGTTTCCCAAGGAAAGAAATAAATGAAATTTCATAACACCTATTTTATATCAGTAAATTCAACTGCTTTTGCCGCTATTGTTATTATTAATTAATAAAATTAATTTGTGGTTTTAATTAATAAAATAATAAATAAGTTGACATACCTGATGTTACAGTAACTGTTCAAATTTTTGGTCACCGACGTGTAAACCAAGTTGGGCCCGTCTTACCCAGTTTCTATGAACTAACACAAATGTTGTTTTGCTTCAGAATATCACAAATACTTCACCATAACACAAATGTTGTCTTGTTTCATCATAAATTAAAACGATATCCATCAACTGCGAGTTGCTATACGCGCAAGCTATTTTTGACACTTGAAAAACTAATGTAAACACTTTCGCAACAACGATAATGCTAGAATCGGATTTCAGTATTCAGAATCGCTTACTACAGTAGCCCAGCGATGTAAAGGTTGAAAATACTACAACTTCAATAATTTTTTTCTCGGAAACTATAGATTTTACAAACATTTTTTTTTAATGATATTTTGTGATATTGACTCCTGACGCATTTATTCCCAAATCTTTTTGGATAAGTTGTGAATCACTCTATATATACCTGTTTTATAGATAAAAATAAATATTTAGTGGTCAGAGGAGACTTGGTGTTGAATGAAAATTCTAAGGTTTCACCTAATTACCTAAATTGTTTTTACAGCCTACGCTCCTGGGCCGTTGTACGTTCATTTTAACTCATTGGAAACTGGCTTCAGTACGGATGGAACACAGCAGCAAGGATTCAACATAAAGTATGAATTACTGAAGAAATGCCTTTAACGTAGTTATAATTATTACTTAACTATTGTAATAAATCTTATTTTGTGCAAAGTGTGTTTAATTTAAAATCATGTGTGTGAAGTGAACTTGATTAAAATTAATTATTTCAGTTTTAAAGATATCGACTCGAAATTTGAAAACTCTATGGAAGGATAAATGTGCATTTTTGAGGGTGATCCGAATATTTCTACTTGCACCAATGGCGTCCGTGCGAGCATATCACAACCTTTTTTAATAATAGAAATGGTACGCCACCGATAATTTCCCATTTTGATATTTTTTTTAGAAATCCTCCATCAATTCTGAATGAAATTGACCTCTTCAATTTTTTTCGTAGGATGCATCGTTTTTGAGGAAAAAAATAAAACATATTTTATTGCAAGTTTGTGTATTTTTAATTTCTATTAAACTAATTTTTGCTAGAATACCTTCAGTACAACTCACATAATAAAAGTGTAGATCTGGGAGGAGTCTGGAATATTTTCAAAATTGCAAAAATATTTAAAAAATTTAAACAAATATCTAGTTTATCTGAGTTTTTTACTTATATCTTGGAACCTATGCATATAGGAAGAATATTGAAGAGGAAAAAAAATTTAGAATTATTGAATTTTGCATAATAATAAGTAATAATAAGTTTAAAATGTTTAAATTTATTACCGATGTTACAAAATAGCAATGATTGATGAAAAAAGGCAAAATAATCAAGTTTTTGGATAATTTTTTGAAAATATATTAATTGCTCCGAGGGCATTCTAATTTTGGTAAAAATACTGTAGAGTATAATAAAACAACACAACAAATTTCATTAAAATCGGTTCGATAGTTTTCAAAGATAGAAGCGGTCAAAGTTTATCAGCATTTACCGTTAATTTATAAACAATTTAGCAATAATTTTTGATCCAGTGGCTTCGTTTTTCCGAGTTCTCAGCTGGAAAAAATTTTCATATCCATAAGTTATCGACAACATAGATCAATCAGCGGAAAAGTGTCGCTCGCACGCGCGAAAAGTGACTCAAAACACGAAAAGTTAGGGAGAAGGCTTGCTCCGAGACTGAATTCGGAGGTTCAAAATGCGAAGGCATGAAAAAAATTGCATCATCTCGGCTT